AAGTACTTTAGTGGTTTCCCGTTGTTCCACACTACAATTACCTAACAGTAAATAAAACTAAATTAAAAATATTCCAAAAAAATTTTTGCCCCCCCCCCCTGGAAAGTTAATCGATTTTTTGCCCCCCCCCCCCCAGAAAGTTTTTTGCGGGCGCCCATAGTCTTAAGTCAGTAGGTGAAACATTATAATCTAAAGTCAGTAGGTCAAACATAAATCTTAAGTCAGTCAGTTAACGTTAGTCTAAAGTCATCAGGTCAAACAGTATAATCTAAAGTCAGTAGGTCAAACATAAATCTAAAGTCAGTCAGTTAACGTTAGTCTAAAGTCATCAGGTCAAACAGTATAATCTAAAGTCAGTAGGTCAAACATAAATCTAAATTCAGTTAGTTAACGTTAGTCTAAAGTCAGTAGGTCAAACATAAATCTAAAGTCAGTCAGTTAACGTTAGTCTAAAGTCAGCAGGTCAAACAGTATAATCTAAAATCAGTAGGTCAAACATAAATCTAAAGTCAGTCAGTTAACGTTAGTCTAAAGTCAGTGGGTCAAACATAAATCTAAAGTCAGTCAGTTAACGTTAGTCTAAAGTCAGCAGGTCAAACAGTATAATCTAAAGTCACTCAGTTAACGTTAGTCTAAAGTCTTTCAGTCAAACATTCGGTCTGTTGTCAACGTTAGTTCTCACATCATGGAAAGATGAACACAAACTTTCCTAAACCCATTAAGTGTAGCTGTTAATACATCGGTAGCAATTTCATTTTAACTTAAGTACTTCACCACAATGCTTCTCAAACTTTACTGAGGTTGGCCAAATTGCTAAACATCTTTAAACTGCAATGAGGGTGTTAAGTTATTTTAAGACCTTAAGACCACTTCCGTTAAAGAATAAGGCTTGGAAAAGAAAAAAAAATACCCGATATGGAAACTTGTATACAAGAACATTTCATGAGTCAGTGACTCACGATGTGATGTGTAAGTCAACTGTCCATTTATAACAGAGAAATAAAAACTAGTTTGAATTGATTTATGAAACTGTCGTCATCAACGAAATTGTGTAAATATTCTTTTGTGTTGTATACACACCTATTTATAGTAATATAGTAATGTGCTGCTTATGGAAATTCCCATGTGCCTATTTTTATAACCTCACGCCACACTAAATAATAGTTCCATAGCCAGAACAATTGAACATTCCGACGGTTGTGGAACTAGCAATGATTTTTTTAACCGAAAAATATAATTTAATAATTACATGACACTTACAGTTTGCCTAGCATTTGATGTCCATATTTCACATAGGGAGGAGCCAACCAGTTGTACTCTTGTAGCCGTTGATCCGCGAGAGTTGGATTCTTCATAAGCCGTAATCTCCAACTTGGATCCAGAAGTCCGGATTTTTCCGATATTATATCATTGTTGATGTTGCCATTTAGATTCTTGGAAAGTCTCAAGCTTGGACTAATAATCTCCCCAGATGATAAAAAAACGATTGCAAAAACCATCCATATAATTTCCCTGGTTAAGGGCGTGCCAAAGGGGGTGAAGGCCCCTGGCGATCATATCACAGTTGTGCGTAACAAATGTTAAAAGAATTTTGTGTAGTTTTTCCTTTACGACTGCATCAACGTAATGTTCGGAATGGAATAACAAGCTTATAGTTTATCTACGGTTATTTGAGCTCTTCGATAACTTCAAATTCTATGTTAATGTTCAGTTGGCGGCAAAAAATTGTTATATTCAAAAAAAAGACAAAGAAATCTCCCGGCGTATAAAATAAAGTTGATTTGGGTTATTTTATATTACATTTCTGTTTGTATACCATGACTTCTGTTTGTATACCATGACCTATGTTTGTATACCCTGACTTCTGTTTGTTTACCATGACTTCTTCTTGTATACCATGACTTCTGTTTAGTATATGGCTTAGTTTGTACACCATGACTTCTGTTTGTTTACCATGACTTCTGTTTAGTATATGACTTCGGTTTGTACACCATGACTTCTGTTTGTTTACCATGATCAATGTTTGTATACCATGACTCCGAATGTCAACTCATTAGTACACCAGACTCAAGTACTTAACTAACCTAATAACTTTCTTTTGATGTGTTATTTTCATTTACTATAGCTTTAGCAATCTATCAACTTTTTCAATCTCTCAAAATCGTACGTATGTATTGGTCAGTTGAATCTAAGCCACGCATTGCTATTTCCAAAACTATTCTGTACATTTTTCGGTCAGCATGTCTGTGAGGAATAGCTGTGAGGTTTAACTTTTTACGGGGAAAAAAATATTAGACAGAAAGACAGACAGACAAAGAGACACCGTTTTCATATAAAAGACACCACATCACCCACATATAACTAACGACATAATAAAAATAAATAAAATATCTGACCTTTTCATGGAAATTAATTCAGTGTCTGACCGTGTCATCTTATAAAATGTAGCTTTTTTTTATGTTTTATAATGTTAGCTTTAACCATGCATAATAATTTCCCTGCCCCCCCCCCACCATTTAAAAAAAAAAAAATAACTAAGCTTTCACTTGTTATTTTGCGACCTTTTTTTTATTTATTTTTTTTTTTTTTTTTTAAAAAAAAAAAAAATTATGTTTGCCTCTTCTTTCAATTGGTAGCTTTCAAGGCTTAGCCTTACAACTGCGGNCTAGTTTCAAAGATACCAAGACAAGTAAAACATTTCGCTCTACCTTTTTTTTAAACTATCTATTTCTTTTTTTTTTTCCTTTTTTTTTTCTTTTTTTTTCCCCGTTTCCTTCTCCTATTTCACACCATTTCCGGTACACTTAATAATCTCTGGTCAGTTTTTTATAAAGGTTATTCCCCAGATTCTCAAGCGGAGGATTTGGGGTTTTAGAATTCCCAAGATATGGGGAAAATTCCCAAGGTCTGGTAGTACTGATGTGTGTGTGTGTCGGGTATTATTTTAAAAAGAAAGGAAGCGCATATCAAGTTTTAAAATTCAGTGGCGTATCAGGATGGGGGTCCCAACCAAATGTCCAAAGTGGTTTATTTAGATTTTATTGTTTAATTTTTTTAAACCTTGTACTCGTTTATTGTTGCAACATCTTTGCCCCCCCCCCAACGACCTCCACATTTGCATCCACCGATCCACCGCCTCCTTATTTCTAAACCTGGTCACGCCACGTGACATTAAGTGTCCTTACAACGAATGTTTAAGTTGGATTTTTTATTGTTTAAAAAAAAAAAAAACTGTTACGAACCGGATCTCTGTGTTGTTGTTGTTGTTTTTTGGGTGATTATTTCAAGAATGATGTAACAGTGTGCACAGGGCAGTCCTTTGACATACCTTTTTAAATCCTATATTTTAACTTTGGATTTATTCGTGGCTGGCTGGCACAAAACTTTGAAGGTGGACTAACTCCACTTCACGTCAAGCTATCGAGCTGAAACTTGACACTTT